CGTTCTCGAGGCAGGGGTGTCCCTGGGCACTTCCGTGAGCTTGCGAGCCACGCCTCGTCGAGCTTCCCCTGGAGGGACGGCCTCTTTCGAACTGGAGGACGGGGAGGGCGACTCGTTCTCAAGGCAGGGGTGTCCCTGGGCACTTCCGTGAGCTTGATAGCCACGCTTCGTCGGATTTCCCCTGGAGGGACGGCTCCTTTCGAACTGGAGGGCGGGGAGGGCGACTCGCAGGGGTGTCCCTGGGCACTTCCGTGAGCTTGATAGCCACGCTTCGTCGGATTTCCTTCGGAGGGACGGCCTCTTTCGAACTGGAGGACGGGGAGGGCGACTCGTTCTCAAGGCAGGGGTGTCCCTGGGCACTTCCGTGAGCTTTGAGAGCCACGCCTCGTCGAGTTTCCCCTGGAGGGACGGCTCCTTTCGAACTGGAGGACGGGGGGGTGGTCTCTTGTAGCGCGGCGCGCTCCCGCTGGAACGGCTGGCCCATGGGGCGCCCGTCTCTTCAGGGGGGGGGGGGGGGGGGGGGGGGTGCCCGTATCGCGCAGAGGAGAAAGGGCGCGCTCGTGGGGGACTTCTGCTGGGGGCCCGCGGAGCGAGAGGGTGTATGCCAGATTGCAGACTCCTCCCCTCTTTACTTGGCCCTCCTCCTCCTCCTCCTCCTCCTCCTCCTCCTCCTCCTCCTCCTCCTCCTCCTCCTCCTCCTCCTCCTCCCCCTCCCCCTCCCTCTTCCTCCCTCTTTCTCCATCGAGCACGCTCCGCGCGAAGCCGTCGTCGAGCAGAGAGCCTCTCTCTTCCCTCCCTCTTCCGTCCTCCCTCCTCCCGCTCCTCCCTCCTCCCTCTGGCTGTCGCTCCCTGGGGAGGCGGCGCCCGCGCAGCACATGTGAGCTGTGACGCGCGCCTGCCCTCCTCCCCTCCTCTTCCTCCCCTCCTCCTCCTCCCTTCTTCCTCCCTTCTCCTCCCTTCTCCTCCCTGCCGTGCCGCTGCGCGGGAGCGCGTGGGCGCGCTACGCCACGCGGCCGGAGCGTTGGGGGCGCGCGGGCGTTTGAGACCCCGCCCTGCGAGGCGGCCTAACTGTTAGTTGGCGAGGCGGCAGGCCTTCAGTGCCGCTTCGTCCCTGTCTCTTTGAGGTGTGCAGGTTCGCGAATTAATCCTTATCTGAATGCAGTTCGCCAAGCCTTTCAGCCGTTGCGTTCCAGGATCTCCCATCGTCGGCCGTGCGCTGGGTTTCTGTTCTCGACGCTGGATCAGGCCCCACAGGGATACTCGGAAATGCAGAGGGCACCAGCATGATGGACCTGACCTCGTTGAAGAGGAGGCCATTTTTGTTCATCATTCTTTTTTGGCAAAAACCGGAAAATCATGGCAATGGCATCGCCGTCTCCGCCGCCCGTCTAGCAGCAGCGCGACGCCCTCGGGCATGTGCTGCCGAGAGAGATCGGCGGGCCCGCCCGGAGCTCATGTCCATCCTTGTTTGCCAGTTCTGTGCTCATGTGATGGTGCTGTTGCCACGGCTTCACTCTGCGTGTCTCCCAAGGGAGCGGCGACTGGGAGGTCGCGGCTTTCGGGGGGACGTGGGAACCCAATGCAACCGATTCTTTTTCCGCCGAAGTGTTTGGTCTCCAGCTGGCACTGGCTGTGTTCGCTGCCCTGCATGGGGACAGGCGATCTTTCTCGGCTCGGAATCCCAATTTTCAGGCGTAATGTGTGCTACAGGTATCTGCATTGAGCGAGGCTCCATCGGCAGGGACTGAAGAGATGTGCGGGGGGGCGGCCTTTGCGGTCAAGCCGAGTCCAAACAAAATCATCCACAGACGTAGGCCTCCGCCTGCCCCTAAAACCACCCCCCCAGGGCACGAGCGCGAGTGGCACCAGGAGGGGAGGTTTTGGTTCTGGCGCACCCTGCCGGCGGACGTATGCGTCGGCGGTGGAGCCCGCCCAGGCCAGGTGCTGAGGGGAGCCAGTCATCAGGGGCCTCACCAGGGACACTTCGAAGGCCAGTCGGCATCAGCCCATGATTCTGGACCGTAGCGACGGGGAGGGATTCCTCCTTGTTTGTTTGAGTTGTAGGTCTTACGCTAGCGGCGGCAGAATCATCAAGGCCCCTCCCACCAACGAAAGGCGTGACCACGGCCGCCGTCATGCTTGGTTCCAGATTGTGTCAGGGAAGCACCCAAAGTCAGGTGTCGAGGTCCTCTCGGGATCTTGGCTAGATCCTACTGCCTGTGCTGCTAGCTCAACCCCCGCCGACGAGGATCGTCGCTTGGAGGTGGCAGGAGATGCCCTGGCCAGCGCTGCTCAGCTCTACCAGGTGGCTGCCAGACTCCGCAGGGAGGAGTCGGCGCCATCACTACCACCACGTATCGATTGGGTGGGTAGGTTAGTGGGTGGGGTTGAGGGCGGGTCGGGATCTGATTAACAATGTCCCGTCTTTCTCTGCACGCGGCGATATGTGTGCAATCTTAGGTTTGGCGCAGCGGTCCGATTCGGCACGCCTGGAGTTTCTCTTGAGGCCTTGCCATGCTCGCTCTCAGATATCCTCCGTGCCCCTCTCGGCAGGGGGGCTCGTCCTGCTCGTGGTGTCTCACCCGCGGGTAGTATTGCATAGCTTGCTGGCTTTTGGGCTGGCCGCACAGGCCCGTGTGGCCTTGCGAGTGGTGAGACCGGCACGGTGCAGGCCGCGCCGCTTCCTTCCAACTTGTTGTGATGTCCCGAGCTCGTCGGCTTCGGCGCCCTCCGCGGGTCCCGCAATCTGCTCGCGATTGGTCGTATTCGCGGCTCCGTTCGTGCCTGGCCTCTGGTGGGTCCCTCGTGTCTGCCACCGCGGATGGCACTCTCGAGTGTTTTTTTGTTGTTTTTCTTGCGGGATCTTTGCTGCCTTGTCTTGATCCCTGTGCCCCTGTCGCCTGCGGCGTCCCAGGGCCGCCCAGTGAGGTTGCCCTCGGTGGCTGACGCAGCGCTAGTCACGCTGCGGTCTGTTCTGCAGGTGCTCTGTTCCGTGTTTGTCTGGGCTCGCTCCCAGAGTACCATCAAATTTCAGCAGCCTTTACCCTCGTGATCATACTTGTCGGGCCTTGCGGCCCACTTGTGTTGGTCGGTGCTCTTTTTACGCGCAGGCTGCGGCTGTCTGCTCTGCTGCCTCGCCACTTTGTGCTCTGCCCTGTACCACGAGGTCGAACTGCTGCTACGTGTGGTACCAGCAGTATAGCACAGCGGGCTCCCAGTCTGTGTGTGTGCTTTGTTTTCGCTTGTCTCAGCGTGCAGCAGCTGACCACGGGCCTGGTGTGAGTGCGTGTTTGCGTGGTTGAGTGCAAAAACATTCTCCCCCCCCTTCCTCCCTCCCTGCGCTTCCCTCTCTCCCTCTCCTTTTTCCCCTCCTTCCTCCCTCCCCCCTCCTCCCCCCTCCCCTCCACTGTCCGAGCGTGGATGGCCCGCCAGTGGAGCCCTTGGCTGTGACCTGGCGTCCATTACATATTGTTCCTTGGGCGCCCCTTCCCCTTCCCTTCGCGTTTCTTTCTTTCTTTCTTTCTTTCTCTCTCTCTCTCTGTCTCCTCTTGCTTCTTCACTTAGGTCGGCACTGCGCTGTTTCACTGGCTGCGCTGAGTGTGGTCGCGCACGTCTCTCGGCTTCGCGGTTACGCTGCCCTCCCTCCCTTCTCGGCCTCCTCTTCTCCTCCCCCTCCCTCCTCCTTTAAGTGCCTTTCGGTGCGACTCGGGATGAGGAAAAAGTTCAAATCCCGCTTCATGGGCCATAGCTTCTGTTGCCTGCGCCGATGTAGGTCTTCGTGCGGCAGGGAGGAGTTTTTTTTTTTGTTCGGACTAGGCGTAGTACCGTGTTCGTGGCACTGCCGCCTTGTTGGATCACCTCAAGCATATCATGTGTGTTGTGTTGCAAATGGCCCGACGCCCACCAAGCCGCAGGTGGGCTTTCCTCCCCGCCCTCCGCTTTTGGAGGGGGTGGAGGGTCGGGGCTGCTCTCCAGCTTGGGCTGAAGGCGCCTGGGCTCGGCACTTGGTTGCCTCCCCTCCCTTTCTCTCTTCTCCTCTGCGCGCTGCGCGGGGCCAAAGTGTCCAACGCATCTCCGAAGGCCCCCCCCCCCAAGGCGGGGGCGGAAGAGAGTCAGCGATCAAGCAGAACCAGGAGGGAGCGCCAAGGCGAGGGGGGAACGGGGGACCGCCTCCTCCCGTTGCTTCCCAGGTTCCCGGAGAAGGAGTCTCAACATGATCGGATGATGCATTGCAAGTCAGCCTCACGAGTCACCGCGTCGATTTGCGGGTCTTTTCGTGATCGGCTGGCAATGCCCGTCGTTGTAGGCTATCTTCCGTTCCTCGCGCATCCCAGCGTCAAGTCGCTACACCTCGTCTAGTCTGGGGGGCCAGTCCTCGAATTTAGAACCGCACGGCACTCTGCGAGGGTCGGCGCCGAGGGGATACTTCTTCGAGTGAACGGGGCCAAACTCCGTCCCGCAGGCAGGGCACAGGGCGTCGGCGCCCGCGTGTCTCCGCGCCGACCACCCGGAGTGCCGCGCTCGAGAGGTGGCGAACGCGGGGGGAGGCGACACCCGCACCAGCACACACACACACACACACCTGTCTCATGCACGCAAGGACGCGAAGGAGCGGGGTCGGAGGTCCTCGTAGGGGCCGCGTCGGCCACCGAATCGGAGTAAGACAACCAGTTTCTGGACCAGCGGGTTCCACACGAAGCCGCACTCACGGATAAACTATCCCAAAGAAGCCCTCGACTTTTCGTGTGGCTCCGGAAGTATATGCCTCGAATTCTGGACCACCTGCTCGTGCAGCTGCTTCAGATCGGAGCAGATCAGCTGCCTCCCGCCTCCTCCGCCTCCTCATCCCTTCTTCCTCCTCCCTCCCCCCTCCTCCCCGTCGTCGTCGTCGTCGTCGTCGTCGTCGTCGTCGTCGTCGTCGTCGTCGTCGTCGTCGTCGTCGTCGTCATCGTCGTCGTCGTCGTCGTCGTCCTCGTCCTCGTTCTGGATCGTGCCCCAAGGCGAGCCGTGGTGGCTCCTCCTCCGCCCGCCCGGGCTGGGGCGCCCGGCTTGTGCGGGGCCCAGCGTCCGCCGCTGGCAGCGCGCCCCCCTCGCGCTGTGCGCGCTCCTCGGGAGGAGGAGTATGAGGAGGAGGAGGAGGAGGAGGAGGAGGAGGAGGAGGAGGAGGAGGAGGAGGAGGAGGAGGAGAGGAGAGGAGGAGGAGGAGGAGGAGGAGGAGGAGGAGGAGGAGGTAGGAGAGGAGGAGCAGAGGAGGAGGAGGAGGAGCGAAAAAAGGAGGGGAGGGGAGGAGGAGGAGGAGGAGGGGGAGGAGGAGGAAGGGAGGAGAAGGAGGGAGAGGACGAAGAAATCGGTGGAAGAGGAGTCGGACGGGCGGCGACCCCGCCGCCGGCGTTCAACGTTGGATGCCTCGGATGATTGCCAACGATCTGACGTTTCGGAGACGGCCGATCGTTCAAGGTTGAGCGATCCCCGCGATGTCTGGAATCGGCGCCAGAGTAGACACGACACGAAAGTACGCCACGCCAGAGCGCGCCCCCGCCAGAGTGTAGGAAAATGACACGAATCCGCCGTAGCGCTGCTCGTCCTGGGGACTCCTCGTTACTACGGCTGGATTCTCCTAGAAATTCTGGTAAGAACGAACCTCTGGAGAGGTCTGGGGAGTGGCGGTGTCGGTATCTTGTAGTCCCTCGAATGCCCCCTTTCCAGTTGGGAAGGCTCTCCGACTTCAGCAAAATATTGAACATATTCGATTCGGAGGTTCTTCGCTTTTTCCGGTCTTCAGGGGCCCTCTCTGGGCCTGGGGACCGTCACACATAGGACTCAGGGTGAAAAGCCTGCCACGGCGAAAGGGTCGGGACTTCCGGGGACCGCTCCTCGGGGGGTGGGGGTGGGGACCCAGACCTTATCGAATCGTGAAACAACTGCGACGGGAGGTTTTCGGCTATTTTCGATTTCGGTGGGCCCTCCTCAGGCCCAGGAGGCGACGTGCGCGGCCCACACCTTCGACGTCGACGGAAGGTTTGGCAATTTCCGGCCTCTCGGGGCCCTCACCAGGCCCAGGGACGGTCAGGAGTCCCCTACACAATCCCGGCGAAAGTCTACGTATAGCCTAGTATGGGCCCTTGTTGGTCTATGTATACCCTGGCCATAGGCGTATTAGAGGTCTACGCGCAGCCTACCTGGAGGCCTACGAAAGGTCTCCGAATAGCTTATAGGTGGTCCTGTAGTAAGCCTCGTAGGCGGGCTGTGCATAGGTCTACAATCTCACGCGCCAAGGCCCCACTACATTCTGTGCACAGGGCTATCATAGGCCTATGCGTTTCGTATCGATGGGCCTACGACGGGCCTGCACATAGCTTGCCTTTTAGGCCTGTTATAGGTTTATCGGCAGTCTTTCACAGAGCCTGCTGGCCCATGCGTCCTGGGGCCTTCTGTGGCCTACGCACAGGCCTACAATCGGTCTATGCGCCGTCTGTAAACAAGCCCGACAACAGGCCGATGCGCAGCCTGCGCATAGGCTTGCTACAGGCCTGTGCGCAGGCTGTGCGTAGACTCAAGTTCGCTTCCAGAGAGGGCGGTGCCTCGCTGTTGGCTTATGTACAGCCTGCTCGTAGACTTACACATCGGCTATGTACAGACCTGTGGTAGGCCTCGGGTGGGCCTCAAGGGAGACTGGCGCTCCTTGATAGGCCGATGCACAGTCTGCGCATCGATTTATCATAGGCCTGTGCAGAGGCTACACGCAGACCTGTAGTAGGCCTATGCAGGACCTATGCTCCGCGATGGGCCTAAGCACAGCCTACGCATAGGCCTACGACAGGCCTGTGCACAGGCTACGTATAGGCTTAAGCATAGCCTATCGATGGGCCTATTTCAGGCCTGGGCAAAGTCTATCGCGAAGCTTCTTGCAAGCCTATGCGTAGTCTGCCGATTGGATTATTTCAGGCCTGTGGTAGGTCTCTGGTGGGGCTCTTGAGGTGCAGGCGCTCCGCTATAGGCCTTCGCACAGTGTGAGTAAAGGCCTGTACATCTGCTGCTTCTGGTGAGCCTCTTCAGGGGCTGGCGCTCCGCGATAGGCCTTCGAACAGCCTTCGCAGAGGCCTACCACAGGCCTGTGCATGGGCTACGCACAGGCCTATAGTAGCCCTCTGGAGGGCCTATGAAGAGGCTGGCGCCCTGCGATAGGCCTATGCACAGCCTGCGCATAAGCCTGTGCGTAGGCCTGTGCAAAGGCTGCGCGCAGTCCTGTGGTAGGCCTCTGGTGGGCCTATGGAGGGGCTGGCGCTCAGCGATAGCTTTCAGCACAACCTGCGCCTTAGGCCTGTGCGTAGGTCACGCACAGGTTTATTGCAGGCCTACGCGGGGCCTACGGAGGGGCCGGCGCCTCGCGACAGGCTTCTGCATAGGCTGTGCACACGTCTGTGGAAGGCCTCTGGTTGGCCCATGGAGGGGCTGGTGGCCCGAGATAGGGTGATGCACAGCTTGCGCATGGACCAACAATAGACATGTGCATGTGCTGTGCAAAGGCTTCTAGTGGCCCTCTGGAGGACCTGCGGACGGGCCGGCACCCCGCGATAGGCCTGTGCACAGCCTGCGCATCGGCCTGTGCGTAGGCTGTGCACAGGGCTGTGGTAAGCCTCTGGTTGGCCTGCGGAGGGGCCAGCGCCCCTCGATTGGCCTATGCACAGCCTGCGCATCGACCTGCGATAGTCTTGTGTATGGGCTATGCACAGGCCTGTGGTGGGCCTCTGGTGATCAAAACCTATCGATTGGCCTAGTTTCAGACCTCTGCATAGTCAATCGAAAGGCTCATTGAAGGCCTATGCGTGGCCTGCTTATAGGCTTATAGTAGGTCAATCGATCGGCTTTTGTATGGCCTGCTGGCTCATGCGCCGTAGACCTTGGTATAGCCCATGCATAGGACAACGAAAAGTTAAGGCATAGGCTTTGCACAGAGGATTGTTGTTTACAATAGAGACCGAGGGTAAGAAGCGGGTCCTGGGAAAAGGTCCGAGATTTCCGAGGACCTCGCATGTATCAAACTCAAGACATTGGATGTCTGGGGCTCGAGGCTCGACGAATGCCTCGGACGGTTTCGCAGATTCCCTGAGGTTTTCCAGCCTCCGGACGCTCTCCAGCAGCTGCGCCTCGCCGAGGTGCCCGTGCCGTCCCGGACGGCCGCCGGGGAGCCGAGCTATCGCCCGCAGGGCAGCTTCCCTGCGTCATCTTGACTACCTTCGGCCTCCAGGGGCGCCTGGCCAGACTCCGGGGCCGTCCAACAGTCACTCAGGAGGGGTAGCTGGTCCCAGGGAGAGACGTGGCAGGCTCTACGAGGTCACCCGCGAAGCGAACGCTCGCCACCTTGGTCAGAGCAGCATCGTCGGAGAGCCGACGGCTGTGTGCAGCACGCAGGCGCATCTATCACCTGCGCGTGATGACCTCGGCCGCTGCGCTGGACATCATCGGTCTTACGGTGTCCCCACGCCTGGCTCCACGGGCGGCTCTGGCGGCTCGGGACTCTCCAGGGGGCCGGCGCGCGAGCTGCGGGGGCCGGATCCGATCGTCGAGGATCGAGGCCCAAGGATCGGGGGAAGATCCAGGAGGTTCGACGAGAGAGGATCGAGGTCTTCGGATGGTCTCGGCACGCGTGGGCCTCTCGGGAGCCTCCCGTAACCACGGCTGGATTCCCCCCCCCCCGAGATTCTGGTCAGACGGCGCTCCTGGAGAGGTCGGGTGCCGGATTTCGAAAGAGGATGGCCCAGGCCTCTAATGTCTTTAGCAAGTGGGCACGGAGTTTTTTGGGTCTCAGCTTTGTCATCCATCGGGGGCCTTTTTTTGGCCACCGCCCCTACCCGCGTACCTTATGAGGGACACGCTTGTTTGCGGGGTTGGTGTACAAACATCGTGCCTCTGGGGGATGCCGTTTTTGTGTACGACACTCGCTCCGCGGTCTTGTGCCACATAAGCTTGCTTGTGGGGTTGCGTGCCAAAAGTCGAGCCCTCTAATTTGGGGGTTGCTTTTGTTTGGCTCCTGGGCCGTTAGCAAGCAGATCTGGGGTGAGAGTTTGCAGCTGTCGCTGTCGCTCCTGCTCCTGCTCCTGCCTGCTCCTGCTCCTGCTCCTCCTCCTCCTCCTCCTTCGCCCCTCCCCCCCTTCTCCTCCTCCTTCCTTCTCATCCCCTCCTACTCTCATCCTCCTACTCCGCCTCCCAATCCTCTCATCTATCCTCTTCCTCCTCCTCCTCCTCCTCCTCCTCCTCCTCCTCCTCCTCCTCCTCCTCCTCCTCCTCCCCCTCGTCGTCCTCGCTCTCTGCTCTTCCCTTCCCCCCCCGCCCGGTCGACCCACGTCGCCCGGGCGGCTCGCGTCGAGAGGGAGCCGCGCGAGTCTTTCGCGACTGGCTGCAGGCGCGGAGGATAGTGCAGAACATCAACATCGATGTCCAGGACCCTCCCTTCTTTACCTTCGTCGCCCCCTCCTCCTCCTCCTCCTCCTCCTCCTCCTCCTCCTCCTCCTCCTGCTCCTGCTCCTCCCATCTCTTGTCTTTTCCCCCCCCTCTCTCCTGCCTCCTCCGCCGTCCCCCCTCACCCCCCTCGCTTCTCCCGCCCTCTTCTCTCCCCTTTTCCCTCCTACCTGCCTCCCCTCCTTTCGCCTCTTCCTTCTCTCCTCCGCCTCCGAGAACGAGCGCAGGGGGCGGACAGCTCGCATTCTTTTCTTATGCATTTATTTAACCGCTTCGCTCATTCCGCCGGCCCATAATGCGTAATCGCTGGGGTTTGGCTGCGCGTCCGTGAGCCATGCTGCGCTGATGGGGCCTCCTGGGGGCCTCTTGAGGCCTGTTGGGGGCCTCTTGGGGCCTCTCGGGGGCCTCTTGGGGGCGTCATGAGGTCTCCTGGGGACGTCTTGCGGCTTAGAGCGCGAAATGTCCGTTCCGGTACCCCGTCGGGGCCCGGTCTTGGAGCCGTCTTGGAGGCATCATGGGCCATCTTGGTGGAGGTTTCTGGGGGTCTCTTAGGGCTCTCTGGGGTCGTTTCGGAACGGTCTTGAACCCTCGTAGGCCGTATTGGGGCGATATTGAGGGCTTTGTGGGCCGTCTTGGAGCGCTAGTAAGCCGAAGAGGCGAGAACGCCAAAATCCTCAAAAAACCAATGAAAATCATAAATTGTGGCTTCTTGGGGGCCTCTTGGGAGGTCTCTTGGACGCATCTTGGGGCGTCTTGGGAGCATCTTGGGCCGTCTTGAGGCCTCTTGGGGGCGTTATGAGGTCTCCTGGGGACGTCTTGCGGCTTAGAGCGCGAAATGTCCGTTCCGGTCCCCCGTCGGGGCCCGGTCTTGAAGCCGTCTTGGAGGCATCTTGGGCCATCTTGGAGGTTTTTGGGGGTCTCTTAGGGCTCTCTGGGGTCGTTTCGGAACGGTCTTGAACACTCGTAGGCCGTATTGGGGCGATATTGAGGGCTTTGTGGGCCTTCTTGGAGCGCTAGTAAGCCGAAGAGGCGAGAACGCCAAAATCTGCAAAAAACTAATGAAAATTATCAATTTTGGCTTGTTGGGGGCCTCTTGGGAGGTCTCTTGGACGCATCTTGGGGCGTCTTGGGAGCATCTTGGGCCGTCTTGAGGCCTCTTGGGGGCGTTTTGAGGGTTCCTGGGGACGTCTTGCGGCTTAGAGCGCGAAATGTCCGTTCCGGTCCCCCGTCGGGGCCCGGTCTTGCAGCCGTCTTGGGGGCATCTTGGGCCATCTTGGAGGTTTCTGGGGGTCTCTTAGGGCCCTCTGGGGTCGTTTCGGAACGGTCTTGAACCCTCGTAGACCGTATGGGGGCGATATTGAAAGCTTTTTGGGCCGTCTTGGAGCGCTAGGAAGCCGAAGAGGCGAGAACGCCAAAATCCTCAAAAAACCAATGAAAATCATAAATTGTGGCTTCTTGGGGGCCTCTTGGGAGGTCTCTTGGACGCATCTTGGGGCGTCTTGGGAGCATCTTGGGCCGTCTTGAGGCCATCTGGGCCGTCTTGGGGCGCTCTTGGCTTCAGGCTGCTGGGCCTGCCACATATTTGGCGTCTCCTTGGGGCGCTCCTGGAGCGCTCCAGAGGCCTCCAGGGCCGCGCCCAGGAAGTCTGGCATCTTTGGCCCCCGCCCTGCCGGGGACCTGCCGGGGTACTTTTCGCCCGGGGACTCCTAGGGCCGCCCCGCGCGCGCGAACTAGAAATACTGTAAATACTGTTTACCTGTTACCGGAGATCTTAGCACGCCCTGGCCCGTTGGGCTGGCGAATTTTGCTGTTTTTTGTTATGTAGGCGCGCTCACCTGCAGGCGCCCGAGGCGCGTTTGGGCAGCGCTGTGAGAGAGAGAGAGAGAGAGAGAAAGCGAGAGACGCAAGCACGAATTAAGGCGCGTGGACTGGCGACGGGCCGTGCTTCCATACAGCAGAATCGGCACGCTCCGCCGCCAAATCAGGCGGCACCGGCCTCATATGTTTCGGTGGCACTTCCCCGATCCGTGGATCTGGGGCCCGCGCGCCAGATCCACAGTTCCGTAATCTATGTTAGCGAGCGCCCGACAAAGCAGGAGAAAGAGGCGAGGGGCGAGAGGACATGTCTGCGTCGTACTCGTCCAACTTCGACGAGGGCTTCGCCTGCGGGGTGGAGCTCGAGGGGTTCAGCGTGGCCTCCACCGACGCCGACTTCGGACAGGCGGCCGCGGATTGCCGCGGGCTGCGGGCAGCTGCCGCCGTTGCTGTCGTGCCGCGGGCAGCTGTCGTGCCGCCGCCGCCTTTGTGCCGCCGCCGCGGCTGCTTCTGCTGCTGCGGCCGTCGCCACCCGCAGCGCCTCGGCGTCTTCGTGGGGCTGCTGCCGTCGTGGCTGCTGTGCTCATCTCTGCCACCGCTTCTGGCGCCGTCATCGCCGCTTCTGGTCTGCGTGCGGCTTTGGCGCCCTCGATGTTGCAGCCACGGTTGCCGCTGCGGCCGTTGCTCCTGCTGTCGTGGATCGTGCTCCTGGCTGGTCGCCGTCTTTGCTGTGCTGTCGGCGTGGTCATGGCCATCGCCCATCGCGGTAGTCGCGGGGGCCTTGACGTTGTTGTGCTGTCGTTCCTCTGGCGAAAGGAGACCGGAGGGTGAGGATGAGGAGGACGCAGAGGAGAAGGGGTAATAAGCTGGGTACAGATGAGGAGAAGGAAGCGGATGCTGATGCTGATGCTGCTGCTGCTGCTGCTGCTGCTGATGATGATGATGATGATGATGATGATGATGATGATGATGATGATGATGTTGATGCTGATGATGATGATGATGATGATGATGATGTTGATGCTGATGATGATGATGCGGATGAGGATAAGGGTGAGGATGAGGAGGAGCAGGAGGAGGAAGAGGAGGAGGGGTAAATAGGAGGATGGGCAGGGGGAGGAGGAGGAGGAGGAGGAGGAGGATGGGTAGGAGGAGGAGGAAGAGGAGGAGGAGGAGGCGGAGCAGGACCAGTGTAAACCGAAGACTCATCAACGATGTTGGAATAAACCGTCCCTCCAAGTCCCCTCGTCTTCGGCCCCTACAATGCTTCATGTCTACTGAGGGGAGTACCCCGTTGGGGGACAACCGTGTGAAGCCCCTGAAGCGTGCGCCAAAACACCGTTTTCAGGACTTCAATGCCACGAGTCAATTTGACTGTTGCGTCTTGACGACCTGAATCGTGCCAGAAAGCCTTTCCCGGGAACTCAAAACGGTTAATCAACGTAGCTGCTGCGCCCTGACAGTCCCGAAACGCTCCAAAACCGTGTCTGGTATGCGCACCAGCAGAAGCAATGAATTCCTGCAAATGTTTGATACGAATGTGCGCGGCACTGAGGCGAGAGCCACATTTTTGGTTGGAAAGGAACCGCCCTCAATGCGTGCATCGCTTGCGTAACCTAGAATCCAGCCAATGCATACGGTGCTAAGGCGAGCGAGAGCCACAATGCGGAAAGGAACCGACCTTCATCCGGGAGGCTCTCGCGACCATTTGGAACGACTGTGCGGGGCGCTGAGGCCAGAACTTTTTTTTTGTTTAAATAAAAAACAAAAGGAGCCGTCTTCAGCGCGTGAAGCTCGTGGAAATCTGGGGAAAAAACGAATGTGCGCGGCGCTGAGGCGAGAGCCACATTTTGAAAAGAAACCGCCCTCAATCCGTGCACAAACTTTGCACATGTTGGCAACGAAAGTGCGCGGCGCTGAGGCGAGAGCCGCATTGAGGAAGCGACCCGCCCTCCATCTGTGAAGCTGTTGTCAGTTTTACAGCTTGCGGCTCATAATAGGCGAGGAATTCTCAAGCGAAATGCCCGGCCCGCCTTTCCGACTGGCCTCGAGGTGCGACAGGGAGGAGTTGTTCACAAGGAAATGGAATGGGATGGGATGGGATGGGATGGGATGGGATGGAGAGGAATGGAATGGAATGGAATGGAATGGAATGGAATGGAATGGAATGGAATGGAATGGAATGGAGGAGGAGGAGGAGGAGGCGGAGGAGGCGGAGGAGGAGGAGGAGGAGGGGGAGGAGGAGGAGAAGGAGGAGTAGCTGTTTCAGCTGTTTCGCCTCTCGCTCCACGCGAGTCGCACGGCCTGCCTAGGCCGCGCCCGCCGCCGTCGTCGCGGCGGCCTCCTCTCGGGGGGTCGCGGCCCTGGGGCCCACCCCCTCTCCACTCGCGTCTGGCTGAGGCGAGTGGAGTACTGCTGAACTGATCTCTTTCCAGCTCTCCTGTTGCTGCTGGTGGTCGTCGTGCTGCTGGTGCTGTGGTACTGGCAGCTGTCCGTCCGTCGTGCTGCCCAGAAGGAGCCACACCCTCGGACCCGCTCCCTCCGGGAGCTTCTCGAAGGACGACCGTCTCGTCCTGCATGCGGAAGGCCATCCTGAACTAGCTCTAAGGCGACACCGTCGCTCTCGAGCTGGACCACCACGTCGCGCATGTGCACCCCGTCCTCGCCGCATAGCTGGGTGAGCCAGCCCTCGACCGCCTGCTCGGTCTCCACTCTAGCGCTGCAGCTGACGATATTGGGCTCAAGCTTCGCCTCCCACTTCTCGCACGCGCTGCTCCCAGCGCTGTAGCTGCCGATGTTGGGCTCCAGCTTCGCCTGCCCCTTCTCGCACGTCCCGATCCCAAGGCTGTAGCTGATGGTGTCGGGCTCTGCCTTCGCCTCCCGCTTCTCGCACGCGCTGTTCCCAGGCTCATCCTTCGCCCTCTGCCGCCGCTGCCCGCCGTCGGGCTCCCTCCCTTCGCCTCCCGCTGGCCACGTCGAGGCAATCACTGCTCGAGCCTTCCACGTGGCCCTGCTCGTGCCGTCCTCTCCGCACGCCCTATTCCCAGCGCTGCAGCTGATGACGTTGGGCTCGTTCTTCACCGCCCACTTCCTGTGGTTGCTGAAAATATCGGGCTCGCGCTTCGCCTCCAGCTTCTCGCATGTTGTAGCCAGAGCCGCGTGGCTCTGTACGCCCTTCTCGCAAGCGCTGTCGCCGCCCTTCTCGCAAGCCCCGCTGTAGCTGAGGACGTCTGGCTCGGCTTCTTGAGGCTGCCACTGCCCACCCCCTTGAAGCTGCCGCTGTCCGTCTTCTTGAGGCTGCCACTGCCGTTCTGCCTCCAGCCGCTGCCCATTCTCGCACGCCCTAATCCCAGCACTGTAGGTATCGGGCTCTATCTTCGCCTCCCGCTTCTCGCACGCGATATCGGGCTCCAGCTTCGCCTTTTCCTTCTCACAAGCCCTGGTCCCAGCGTTGTAGCTGATGGTGTCGGGCTCTATCTTTGCCTCCCACTTCTTGCTGACGACGGCGATCACGTCCAGCACCTGGTCTCCGACGGCTGCCGTGCATACTGTCGTCCCGCAGCGGCAAGTTGTGCCCGCCTGCGCGTGCTGGCGGCGGCCAGGCACGAACACGAGCGCCTCGCGGTTCCACTCGAAAGCCGCCAGCCGCTGCCACTGCCTCTTCTCGCACGCCCAGGTCTCAGCGCTGTAGCTGATGGTGTCGGACTCTATCTTCGCCTCCCACTTCTCGCACGCGCTGTTCCCGGTGCTGTGGCTAGCGATGTCGGGCTCCAGCTTCGCTGCCCCCTTCTCGCACGCCCTGGTCCCAGCGCTGCAGCTGATGGTGTCTGGCTTCGTCTTCGCCGACCTTTTCTCGTACTTCTTGGGAAGCTTCAGACGAGCGAGATCGGGCTCCAGCTTCGCCTTCCCGTTCTCGCGAGCCCTGTTCCCAGCTCTGTAGCTGATGATGCCGGGCTCTATCTTCGCCTCCCGCTTCTCGCACCTCTCGCCGAACGTTGTGGGGAGCTTCTGGCTGGTAAGGTCGGGTTCCAGCTTCGCCTTCCCCTTCTCGCACGCCCTGATCTCAGCGCCGTAGCTGATCGTGTCGGGCTCTATCTTCTCCTCCCATTTCTCGTGCACCTCCATCTTCTCACAGTCGGGCTCTGGCCTCGCATTTGGCTCCAGCTTCGCCCCCCCCCTTCTCACAGTCGAGTTCCGGCATCGCCTTCGCCTCTGCCGCCTGCCGCTGCCGAAGCTCTGCTTTCTGCTTCTATTCCTCGACTTCCCTCCGAAGTCGCTGCACCAGCCTGTCTGCAGATGCGCGCGAGCCTGCGACGCCCCGCAAAGGCTCCCGTCGCGCCGGCGGCGCTGGGGGCATCCGCTCGGCGGGCCCTCCCGAAATGGCTGGGCCGCACTACAGAGCCACCTGAGGAGGAGGAGGAGGAGGAGGAGGAGGAGGAGGGAGGGGGGGGAGGCGGAGGAGGAGGAGGATGGAGGAGGAGGAGGAGGATGAGGAGGAGAGGAGAGGAGGAGGGAGGAGGAGGGGAGGAGAGGAGGCCGGAGGAGGAGGAGGAGGAGGAGTGAGGAGGAGGAGGAGGAGAGAGGAGGAGGTAGGAGGAGGAGGAGGAGGAGGAGGGGAGGAGGAGGAGGAGGAGGAGGAGGAAGGAGGAGGAGAGGAGGAGGAGGAGGAGAGGAGGAGGAGGAGGAAGGAGGAGGAGGAGGAGGAGGAGGAGGAGGAGGAGGAGGAGGAGGAGGAGGAGAGGAGGAGGAGGAGGAGGAGGAGGGAGGAGGAGGAGGAGGAGGAGGAGGAGGAGGAGGAGGAGGAGGAGGGAGGAGGAGAGGGAGGAGGAGGAGGAGGAGGATGAGGAGGAGGAGGAGGAGGAAGCAGGAGGAGGAGGAGGAGGAGAGGGAGGAGGAGGAGGAGGAGGAGGAGAAGTGAGATCAGAAAAAGTACCAGCAGCAGCAGCAGCAGCAGCAGCAGCAGCAGCAGCAGCAGCAGCAGCAGCAGTAGCAGGACGAACGAATGAGGTGATGAGTGAGTGAGGGAGGGAATGGAGTTCGGAAGGAATGAATGATGGAAGGGAGGGAGGTAGGGAGGGAGGGACAGGAGGACGATACAGAGAAGGCCTCCAGCTTCCCCTGGACGTCTAAGGAGGCCCGAGAAGATCGAGACGCGTCTAGGAACCCTGATAACTTCGACCCCCGATCTTTGGGAAAAGGAGGAGACGGAGGAGGATGAGGAGGAGGAGGAGGAGGAGGAGGAGGAGGAGGAGGAGGAGGAGGAGGAGGAGGAGGAGGAGGAGGAGGAGGCGGAGAGGGAGGAGGAGGGAGGAGGGAGGAGGAGCAGGAGGAGGAGGAGGAGAAGGGAGCAGGAGGGAGGAATAAGGAGGAGGAGGAGGAGGAGGAGGAGGAGGAGGAGGAGGAGGAGGAGGGTGAGGAGGAGCGTGAGGAGGACGAGGAGGAGGAGGATGAGGAGGAGCAGGAGGAGGAGGAGGAGGAGCAGGATGAGGAGGCGGAGGAGGATGAGGAGGGTGAGGAGGAGGAGACGGAGGGGCAGCCAGAGCAGACGGAGGAGCAGGCAGGGCTGCTCGCAGTCCGATTCCGCCTACTCCGATGCCCTTACCTGGGTTTCGATTCCGATCCGGTCCGATCCGACGCGAGCCGAGTCCCGCTCTGGTCCGATCGGATCCGATCTGGTCCCATCCGATCCGATCCGGTCCGATCCGACGCGGGCCGAGTCCGATTCCCGCCCCCAAGCGACCCCGTCCCGATCCGGCTCCGCGCTGATACGGGCGTGACCCTGTCCCAGACATCCGGCGCTTCTTTTTTTTCAACGTGGGGTTTTCGGAAGTCCTAGCCCTTCCCCCACGGCTTGTTTATCCTTCCGAGTTGTTTTTTGACGGTCCCAGGGCCCATCGAGAGCTCCTGGAGGCCGAAAGCTGCAGCAAAAACCCTCCGTCGTGTGTGTTTGTTTCTCGCAGCGCGAGCACGTTTGGGATCGGTCTCCGACGCGGTCCGACCTCGCCATCCGACCCAGCCCAGGCCCGCCTGGTGGAGCTTTCCAAAAAGGGCCTTGCCTTCGAGGACACACAGAGATGTCATCCCTTCCTCGGCGGAGGGCGGCGGAAGGGCGGTGGAAGTAACACGGGGCCGCCTCCGCCGGCGGAAGGGCGGCGGAAGGTGGCGGAAGTCAAACACTGCGCCCCCGAGAGCTAAAGGCGTCTTTTTCGGTGCAGGGCCTTCGGGACCAGCCAGGTGTCGCCTCAGCAGGAGGCGGCCACGTCGGACAGCTCGCTGTACAAGCTCCTGCAGCTGCGAAGGCGTCCGCCGCCGCCGCCGCCGCCCTCCCGCTCTCGCGGGGCCCCGCTCTCGCGGGGCCCCGCTCCTCTGGCCTGGCGACGGCTGGGCCCATCGAGCAGCCTCGTCCCGCGGGTGCGGAACTATCGACGATGGCTCGGCATCGCTCGGACGTGTGCGTGCTTTCTCGGCGAGGGGCATCGAGGAGCATCCTGGATCCTTTTGCGAAGCAGCCACGCACGAAACCGCAAGAGGTCTGGGGAAGGGGCGTCTGAGCGATGACAACATGGGCGATCGACGATCATCAACCGCCGATTCATGGTGGTCGATGGTTGGCGGTAGTCCATCGAGCCAATCGATCGACCATCGAGGAGGAGGATGCCTCTGTCTGCCGCCGCGGGCAGCCCAGCTGCCTACGTGCACAACGGGGGGGTGGGGGAGGAGGAGAAGGAGGAGGAGGAGGAGGAGGAGAAGGAGGAGGAGGAGGGGGTGGAGGTGGAGGAGGAGGAGGAGGAGGAGGAGGAGGAGGAGGAGGAGGAAGAAGGAGGAGGCTAAGGAGGAAGAAGAGGAGGATAGAGGAGGAGGAGGAGGAGGAGGGGGACGGGGAGGGGGAGGGGGAGGAGGACGACGAGGAGGAGGAGGAGTAGGAGCAGGAGGAGGAGGGGAAGGAGAAGGGGGAGGCCCCCCCGGGGCGACGTGGCCGCATGCTCATCGTTGCACGTTGATCGCCTTACGGTTATCCGTCGAACCCGTCGACCATCGAGAGGCTCCCCAGCTCCACTTCCGAACCTGGGGTGGTGGCTGGGGCCCTCGGTTTACCTCGCCCCGCGGGGGCACAGGCGAAGGAGGAGGAGGAGGAGGAGGAGGAGGAGGGGGAGGCCTCTTGCAACGACATCAACGATAACAGCTACAACGATAACAACGACAACCACGATAACGATACCAACCACAACAATCGCAACGATCACAGCGATAACGATAGCAACGATACAAACGATCGTTGTTATCGTTGCCGTTGTGATCGTTGTGATCGTTATCGTTGTTATCGTTGTTGTTATTGTTGTTATCGTTGCCACCCTTGCCCGTGACTGTCGTGCCGACTGGCGGACGGCTGGCGACTACACCCCCAGCGTTCCTCGCCAGGGATCTGCCTTGCCAGCCTGCGCGAAGTCTCCTGCGGTTGGTGCGGCACAAGCCGCGGGCGGGCCCACTTACGCCTTCAGGCGGACCGCCCCCACGGCTCGGCAAAGAAAGTGGCCGCCTTTTTTGGGCCGTCGCTGGCAGCCAAGCTTTGCAGATGAACAACGGGCTGTGACCAGATCAGGGCGTCGTGTGCAGAAACGCGACAGGACACCTCCAGACCCCAGCTCTGCGCGGCACCATCTCTCGAGCAGGACAGATCCGTGAGGGCACCGGGGCCCGAAACGGAGCAGCGACCGCCCGCATTTATTTTGATTTGTTTTTTGCGAGAAACCCAGATCTTGGTTTCTGGAGGTTTCTCGAAGTACCAGCGGGGGGAGGCCCCCAAGGGGAAAAGCATAAGTTCAGGATAGCGATCCTGAAGGATGCTCCGGTTGTTTCCACCTGTTTCTTGCCCTCAGCCTGCCAGTAGCCCGCTTTTGCCATTCGGCTTGTACTTGGGATATCCCTTGTGTTTGAATCATCCCCCACATGGCATGCTTCAACCTTGCTTTCCGCCTTCCTTGCCGTGCCATTCGCTTGTCTTACGCTTACCATCGGTTTGCCCTTTCGCTGGGCTTCAGCTTGCTTCTAGCTCAGGTGTATACTTGCCCTTGAGCTCGCCTCTAGCTCTCCTGCCAGTTGCCTGCAAGTAAATCGCTAGTTTCAAACATGTGCTTGCTTTTCTCATTGCTTCTCGCTTCTCCAAGCCTCCGACTTGGCATTCTTCGAAACGTGGACGAGCTTTCAATCCATCGTGTATTTCATTAGCCCCGTCGATAGATCTAAGACGTCGTATAAGAGCGCCCTCACCCTCTGGTTTGCACAACCGCAGCCTGCAATATTACTGCCCGTGGGTACGACGACGTCAACGTAAGCCTCGCACGAAGTGTGTGTGTGGACACCACGCAAGGGCACTTGAATGACGCACATGCACAGCTCAACCCAGGGATAGTCGTGCTCTGTCGCTTCACCAACCAGAAATGCATCATTGGTGTTGTCGTAGACGGTTGCAAGGTCCAATCAGAATGTGCCTGACGCAAAGTCACGCATGCCGGCATTTGTTTTGTCGAGCGCCATTCTCAGGAGCTCTGCTTCCCGCGTACGACTACGTGCAAGCCTGACCAGAATCTCGCCTTCCGGTCCACCCCCCCCGTCTTGATTGAGTTAACACAGTCTTCACATAATCTTATTGGGAGGGGAAGGAGAACGAGTCGCATTTCTTTTTCCTGCCGCTCCTGGCATCCCGTTGAGTTGCAGTCTGTAATTTCAACATAGGTGCATATTCACATTGTAAACCAGATTCTGTACCGCTCGTGTCAAAGGGTTTTCAGGAGTGTAGGGGCCCACTGAGCAGGACCCTTGCCAGTATTCCGCGGCATGCATGGATCTGGACACGACAGCCTCACCGTGAGGGCGTCGCTTACCCAGACTGCCTTGGGCGATTGCCTAAAAGAGTCGCTCGGAGGAGGCGGGGTGAGGAGGAGCAGGAGGAGCAGCAGTTCGTCGCTGTGGCATCGTGCAGAGTGATGCTCTTGTGCGGTCTCGAGGTGCCGGCTTCGCTAGCTCAGTTAGAGGGCTTCTGGTCGGGAGTTTTCGCCCAGCGTGTCGCGCCGCCGCTTCTGGCCCACCAGGCGCGACACGCTAAGCTCCGCGGCCCGAGGCTTTCCGAGCCTCCCCGCCTGGCGGAGCGGAGCAGAGCCGACACGCGATCCGCTTGCAAGACGCAGCGTGGCGCAGGGGCCGCCGCCGCGACGCGTGACGCACCCGTGCCTGACCGTAGGCGATTCGTCGTGAGATAGAGAAGCAGAGATAGAGATAACAAAATCACGGTGGCAGTTCCTGCCCATTTTGAGCAGGGCTCGCTGTCGGCATCGCCGCGGACGCTGCCCATTCGAGACAGGAGGCCGTCTGTCCAACAGCGGCTGCGGTCGGTTCTTGGCCACAGTTGTTGCTGGGCATGGTTCGGCGGCGAGCGAGGCGGGAAGTGAGAAGGAGAAGGCCTTCTCAGCAGACTCGGAAGTCCTCCGGCCTCCCGAGAAGTTTTGCCGAGCCTCCCCCGAAGGCGCCGACAACATTTCAGGAGGCGGGAGGGCCTCCGAGAAGCTCCGCCGCCCTCGGAGAGGGCCTTCCCTTTGTCACTTCCCCCTCGGCGCGCCGCCGAGTTTGGATCTCGGGTCCTGACTCGGGTCTCCGGCGGCCGGTCGGGACGATCCCGGGGCACCCCCAGAACGCGCCCTCGGCGGGGCGACGCTGCCGGGACGCACCCCGAGGCGGGAACGCCGCCGGGGACCCGCGACGAGGACCGACAGCCTGGAGCCTCGCGCCCGTGCCCCCTCGCCCGCCGTCGATCTGAGAAGGCCTTCGCTCTGTCTCCCTTCCCCCCCCCCCGCTCGCTCGCCGCCGAGCGGTGCCCACTGCGCCTGCATCCATCCCGGGCGTCCGCATCCAGGGTCGGAGGCCTGGAGGTTGACACCAAGACCAGGATCGGCGGTGTGCCTCCACTGGAGGGTTTCTCCGAAGGGCTTAGGTGACCCGTCCTCCTCCTCCTCCTCCTCCTCTTCCTCCTCCTCCTCCTCTGCCTCTGCCTCCTCCTCCTCCTCCTCCTCCTCCTTCCTTCCTTCTCCTCCTCCATCTCCTCCTCCATCTCCCTCCCCTCCCGTCCCCCCCCCCTCCTCCGCCTCCTCCTCCATCTCCTCCTTCCTCTCCTCCCCTCCTCCTCCTCCTCCTATTCCTCCTCCATCTCCTCCTCCCATCCCCGTCCTCCCCCCCTCCTCTCCTCCTCCTCCTCCTCCTCCTCCTCCTCCTCCTCCTTCTCCTCCTCGGGTCGCTTACGGCTCCGATGGAAGCCGTGCAGCTTCCACCGAGGGAAGAAATGCTCCCGATCTCGGTTGTGGTGGTCATATTCGGGCCTCCAGGGTGGCCGAACGATTGCCACCAACATTCGAATCCAGGATTTTCTTGCCCCTGTGGAGACGACCCCCTGTGTTGGTGTTGGCACCCACTCAGGGGAACGAGCAGTGACATAAACATACAAGCTCGGAGATCCGCGCTAATTTCTCGCATCGGCGCTGGACCCCCCTAGCGGCGCCTCCGGGGCCGCCCCTGGCGCGCTCCGCGTGCCAGGAAGGGGGGTGTCCAGCGCCGATCCGAGAAATCCGCGCGGACCTCCGAGTTTTTATGTTTATGTCATTGTTCGTCCCCTAAATACAGCCGAAGTCTTTTTCGGTGATTTTCGGCCTCCAGGGGCCACTGCAGGGCGCTGGGGCTGTCCTAAAGCTGCTCAGGACGAGAAGCCGGACCCAGGGAAGGGGTTGAGGCACGTTGTGAGCAAAGGCGCGTCGTCGAGGGGTCGGCAGGGGGGTGCGCAGAGTGGTGTGCAGTGCAGCGATACCCGCTGCGTCACGTCGCTCAGGCGCGCAGGCCACCTCACCTCCGCCCGTAGCACGGCCCTGCCATGCACCACCCCACTGCTCGCGCTCATCCTCGGAGCCGATCTCATGACGCCCAACACCACTTCCCTGCTCGTCCTCCTCGTCGGAGGCGCCGTTCTTCTTGGCGGCGTCCTCGCCTGGCGCCGCCGCAGCCGCCCGCTCGTGCGGCGCTCCATTCGCGCCCCGCGGCCGAGGCTCGAGGTCTGCGCCGACAGCGTCGCTGCGGCCGTGGCGGCAGAGGTGGGCGGAGCGCACAGGGTCGAGCTGTGCGGCAACCTGCTGGAGGGTGGCACGACGCCGAGCGTCGGCCAGCTGATCTGCTGCCGGCGCCGCTGCGCGCTGCCGGTGCACGTGATGCTGAGGCCGCGGGGCGGCGACTTCCTCTACAGCGCCGCCGAGATGGAGGTCAT